TCGCATCGCATTGTTTTGCGTTCTGCTACACTGAGGTGCGTTGCTGCCTCTGCACGGTACCGCATCGCGTACGCCGCACATCTTGCACCACATGGGTTGTATCACAGAGCATGCTAGAAATCGCTGTTTGGGCCAGCGTCTGCAAGCATGGCTCTGGAGTGCAGTGGCCCCGATGGGGTCTCAGACACATGGAGAAATCGTCTTTGGCGACAGCTAACAACATATGTGCATCGTAGGCAAACAGGTGATCGCGCGTAAACGCAGCGGGCGGCCAAGTGCTACCACGCCCTCGCCGCAACGCGGCGGCGGAATTTGGCGCCACGAAGCAGGGGGCTCACGCTCTACGTTTCCAGGTATGGGGGTCCGACGTGACAAGAGCAGTGGGCCTCCCAGAGTTCGCCAGGTACGTCAGCGTCTTGCCGAAACCAGTGCAGGCTGCCAGTGAGAATCAGGCTTGTAACGCGACCGTGGGGGCCGACCGGCGGGGCGGCATGGTGGGGGGCGGCGGCGACATCAAGGGCGGCGGGGGTGTCGGCTGCACGGGAAGCTCTGCCCACGCCTGCTGCGGCGACGCGGCTTCCGACGCTCAGGGAGGCGATGGTTCCACGGCGGCTGGCGGCTGGCGGCCAGGGCCCACGTGTGGCTGGACTGGCACTGACGGCGGCAAGGGAGGCTGCATGCAGATGAGCGGTTGCGACGGCGTGGAGAGAGGCGGCACGGCGAATAAAGGCATGGGCGGCAATGGCGGCAGTGGGGCAAGCGGCATGGGCGGCAACGACAGTAAGGGCCAGGCGGCGGCGGGCTATGATGGCCGCGGCGGCGCGCATGGCAACGCGGTGATGGGCGTCGCGGGCGGCTGCGGGCCCCGCGTCCCCGACAATGGGCGGTGCGGTTCGGGATGGGGAGGTGGTAACGGCCCAGTCGGCACCGTCGTTCCCGACGGGGAGTTGCTCGACCACGTCCACGAGGGTTGGGGTGGTTGCAGCGCTACACATCCGCAGCGCGGGATCGACGATGCCGCCCCGGACTGCGACCACGGGGCCAATCATGCCAGGAGGCCGATTGTGGATGGCAACATACCGGCAGTCGGCAACGCGAAGGACGGCGCCATCCATGGGGGCGGCAAGGGCAAGGGCTACTGCATGGGCTACGGCATGGGCTACGGCATGGGCGGCACCATCCATGGGGGCGGCACCATCCATATGGGCGGCAACGTCGGCAGCGGCTGCACCCGCAAGGGCGGCACCATCAATGGGGACCGCCCCATCCTGAGTGACGAGGGCATGGGCGGCACCCGCCATGTGGGCGGCATCGGCGGCATGCGCCCGCCGACCAGGCAGCATGCAACCTTCGAGGCGCCCGCGACTCCGCCAATGGCGTTTGCGCGCCCTCCGAGCACCCCCCCGCCACCGCACATTCTTGCGACGCATCTCATTTGTCTTTCTAAGAGCGCGCCTATCGCCAAGGCGCCTGTTCATGCAGGGCCGCCGAGTGCCCATGTGCTTGTTGGCTGGGGGCCGTATCAATAGAGGAGTTGCGCTGCCGTAGAGCTCACAGGATTGCCTGCTGGAGTCCTGGAGCAGACGAGGTGCCCTTGGCAACAGTGCTTAGTGATTTAATGAGAACATGCGGTCACGCATCGAAGTTGAGAGATATTCGAGGATGCCTCGAACGCGAGACAGTTCTTTACCTTTCTCATTCTGCCCCCTCACCCCATTCCCACCTCCCTCACCTCGTCCTCGCCCCCCTCACCGTATTAGCGCCTTCCTCGCCTCATCCTCGATCCCCGAATTTAGAGCTGACGAACCCATTCCCGCCTCCCTCGCCTCATTCCCATCTCCCTGTCATTGAGGCGCTTGGATGTGTCAGATAACAGTTCCCGCAACACCGCTATCCAAGATGAGGTTTGAGGGCGACGACGACGACGACGACGACGACCGCGACCGCGACCACGACGACGACCACCACGACCACGACAATCATGAACTATCGGGGCCTTGGCTGTTAGTTGCGCGTTTGCGTTGCAACTTGCACAATGCATTGCGGTGCGTTGCCCGAAGGCCACGCGTGTTGCACGTTCCGTTGCATTGCGTTGTTTTTTACACAATGCATTACATTGCGTTGCGTTGCCCGAAGGCCACGCGTCTTGCGCATTGAATTTCGTTGCGTTGCCCGACGGCTGCACATGGGCCATGGAATTAGAACTACATAACAGACGCTCGCATATACTCACACGCCGTCAATGCTGCATTCTCAGACAAGAGCGGTTCAGCCGCGGGTACTCCGATTCTGGAGGCGGATCTGTTATTTCACGTTGATTTTCCCAGAGCATTTCATCATCCAGGCCACAGGGTTCGCTCGCATCTTGCATGTGGCTTGGGTGCTACGCAAAGCTTCAGAGATTGTGTTTATTCGGGGTCGTGGCTTCGACGCATTCGTGGCATTCGGCATTGAGTGCGGAGCCCACCTGGCTGGCCGGTGTGATTCCGATTGGGTTGTTTGTTCTCTTTACTCAACGTTCGACTACCTTCGTCGCGTGGAAGTTCATATCCACTGTGGTTTGATGTTCTGGTTCAAGCCACGTTAGGAGCTCTGTGTTCCCGTTTGTCCAAAGGCCAATACAGACCAGTGCTGTTCTACCGTGGCTGCCACCGCATGGTGGCTGGCGCGTGCCAGCGACGCTGGCAGCGCGCGCAGCGGCGGCGGCGGTGGCGGGAGGAGGGCGCCCAGGGCAAAAGGAGTCAAGCAGGTCCTTCCGCTCAAGCAGGCTCCGAAGATCGTGAAAGTGGGAACGGTGTTCAAGTGCAAGAAGTGCAATGCTTTGTCTAGTAAGAAGAAATGGTTCGAGGTCCGGACCGTTGCTGTCAAAAGCCAGGGCGATAAAGTTGTCGAGCAGCCCGTTGGCGACAAATGCGAGGATTGCGGCGACGTTCACCAGAAGGGTTTCCAGCATCTTTCTTGGGATGACTTCTGCGATATTGAGACGAAAGACCCCGAGCAGCACCAGGAGATCCAGACCGTGGTGAAGGTGATGAAGGGCGAGAAGAAGCAGTTCGAGGACGTCGAACGTGTCCTCCTACCCCATCTCGGCCTTCTCCAGCAATGTCCTATGCCACTCGCCCTCCCTCGATCATCCTTCCCCCGATGGGGAGAGGATGGGGGGGGGGGGGGGGGATTAGCATTGTCGGGAGGGGAGCGGCGGGTGAGGCGGAATGTGAGGAGTGGGAGGGCATGTCGCCTGATCCCCCCCCCAAGGACTCCCAAGTGCACAAGACGGCCTCCACGACCCTCGAGCTCAAGACCCCCGTGGTCGTACTCACAGCCAAGGACCTCATGAGGGAGATGGAGTGGCAGAGGCTGCCCAAACACATTAAGAGCATCACGACCGTCAAGATGCCGAAACAATCAATGATGATCCCGAGCTCGAGTGCGGGTTCGGCGAGCAGGGCCGATTATGACGAGCTGTTCTGCTTCCGCGACCCCTCTAGGCCCTTTCGTGAGGGGAACCTGGTGCAGACCATCGGCGTTTCGATCGAGCAGTCCGCGTTGGCTGAGCAGTTCTGGGGTGGCCAAGCACGCAAGATGGCCGAGAAGACCTCCCGCGAGTTAGACGTGCAGCTTGGCTTGAACGGCGTGGCCGACACTTACCACACCATGCAGACCCTCGACGAGTTTAAGAAGACAAGGGAGGTGAAGAAGCTACCGCGCTCGAGCCTCGGTGCTGAGGGTGAGACGGCGGGAGGAGGAACGGTCATCGTCGAGGGCGGCGCCAACTCTGAGGACGAGGATGTGAAGCTGGAGACCGCCGTCGACGCGAGTGCCCTGGCTCAGTCGCCCGACGGGGCCTCGCATATTGACGACAATACCTTCGCTGAGCTGGTCAACGATGCCCGAGCGAACCTTAAACGGTCATCCTCCTTGTGCACCATGCCTTATTACGACGGCGATCTTGGCGCGGGCGGCTCCGCGGCCAAGACATCCCGCAGGTCTGGTGCAAGTGCTGGAGATCCATCCCCAGGTGAGACCCCTTCATGGCGCGGCCAGTCGGCAGCGGGCACCGCCTTCGGCGACGAGGACGAAGTGCAGGACTTCAAGTTGGAAGGCTCTCGGGCCGTTTTTGGATTATAGGTGCAGGGTTCTTTGAGACATGGAGGTTTGGAAATGCAGCGCTCTGAGAATAACGGGAAGACCTGGGTAGGATAAGATTAGCGCGAGGAGCGCTTGGGGAGGAGGAATACACTATTGAGGTAGATAGAAAAAGGGGGAGGGATGAGTCTCAGGAGGAGGGTAGTGGAGGATGGCGACGACGATGGGGGCAACGGAGAGGGCGAGGGCCACGGGGAGGAGGATGGGGGGGGGGGGGGGGGAGGGGGGGGGAGGGGGGGGGGGGGGGGGGGGGGGCGGGGTGGTGGGGGGGGGGGGGGGGGTGGGGGGGGGGGGGGCGGGGGGGGGGGGGGGGGTGGGGGCGGGGGGTGGGGGGGGGGGGGGGGGGGGGGGGGGGGGGGGGGGGTGGGGGTGGGGGGGGGGGGGGGTGGTGGGGGGGGGGGGGGGGTGGCGGGGGGGGGGGGGGTGGTTGGGGTGGGGGGGGGAGGGTGGGGGGGGGGGGGGGTGGGGGGGCGGGGGGGGGGGGGGGGGGGGGGGGGGTGCGGGGGGCGTGGGGGGGGGGTGGGGGTGGGGGGGGGGGGGGGGGGTGGCAGAGGGCTGGGCGGACATTCAAACTTTTAAAGTTGATTTGCGTCGGCTGTGTTTTGGGTTTCTCCCTGCGCGCGGGGGGGGGGGGGGGCGGGGTCGCGGGGCCAAGATGGCAGTGAAGGACAGCGCGCAATGATTCGTGCGCGCCACTTCCCATTTCTACCCGTCCTTGCCGTGCGCGTGGTTTCCATACCTCCTCAGGTGAGGCGCTCTACCAGAGGAAGCTCAGCCGCTTGCCGTTGACGAGGATGATGGCGGAGGACATCAAGGGGGGCTAGGGCCGCGCAGTCGGGGGCGCCGAGAAAGCAATGAAAAGGTTGGCGTCCAAGGATGAGCACAATGTGATTGGCGCCAAACTCCAGGACCACATTGATCTTGCCAATGAATGCTTGCAACTGCTGCCCGCATCGTTACCGACCCTCCCTCGCGAGAAGGTGCTCAGAATTGCGGCGACCCTGAAGGCCAAAGGCGTTGCCATCGCGATTTCTACCCAGATCTCTTTGACAGTGAAGGAGGCGGGCCATATCATCCAGATGTACATTGAGCCCACGAGACTCCACGTTACGGATCAGCAGGTGGGCTCGTTGCTTCGGACTCTATTACCCCTCGCCCTTGAGGTCAAGGAGGTTTTCGACCCAGAGCACCCGAGGCTCGCCGCGATCGAGGTCGCCGATGGGCCGAAGTTTGACACGTGGACGAAAGTTGTCTTGACATCCTTCATCGTTCCCCGCATCTACGACGGAAAGGAGTACAGCAAGCACGTTCAGTTCTTCTTTCAGGCACCCGGCAAGCACATCAAGCAGGTCGACAAGCTGGATCTCAACGGGCCCGAGGCTCAAATGGTCAGCGAGGTCGAAGACATCAACACAGTATTCGATTGTCTATCAGGGGGGCTCGACCAGGCAGCGGCAAACTCCAGCATAATCAAAGAGTTCATCGATGTCTCGAAGACTGAGGGCTCGGGGTGGTGGTTGTCAGTGGCCAGCGCGCGCATGCGCACGAACTTCTACAAGGAGCAGCTGGAGAAGATCCAGCGCGACATGCCCTTCATGGAGCCCGTGATGGAGGAAATCTGCAAGATCAACGAGAAGCTGAACAACACAAGCAGCTCGGTCATTGGACAGGGCTTGAACGACGCTGCGAAGCTATTGACCGACTATGCGGATCACGCTGGCGATTGGTTGAAGCCGTTCGCAGAGAGCATCAATGGGAAAGCGCAGGCATGGTTCGACATGATCGTCCACGTGGAGATGCTGTTTGACTACAGCGTGGACAGCGCGCAGGACGCCAAGATGACCGAGGCCAAGGAGGTTACAACACAGGCGGTGCAGGAGATCGTGCACGAGCTGAGCTTAGCTTTCCCGATGGGCGACTGGACGCACGACATGACTGCGAGGTTGGGATGTCTGCTGAAAAGTGCTGCCGAGGCGAGGTTCGCCAAGAAGTTCGAAGCTGTTCTCGTCGGCATCAATGGCGCCCTCGATTCCTCCAACGCCCCGCCAGAAGATAGTCGCCATCAGTTAGCCTCTGTGCTTGTCGAGGCGAGGGTCACCGAGCATTTCTTCCAGACCGAGACCCAGGGCATACTCAAGGATTGCATCGCCAAGGTCAGCAGCATGAGGGTCGAGCTTCTGGACTTGAAGGTGCACCATTTTTTGATTCGATTGTCGAGACGCTGCCTTTCTACTACGGCACCGACCTGGTCCATGAGAAGACGATCATCCAAGCCATCCAGTCCGCGTTGACGTGCATGCATGAAACCAAACTCGCTTCAGACTAGTACAACAACGCGGATGGCTGGGACCCGACGTGGGAGAAGCGCGCTGAGACGTTGTCGCGCGCGGGGCTTCATCTACGTAAGATCCTCGCCAAGTTGAAGTTCTACCAGGAGCCGCAGGGATCCCAGCCCTCTGAAAGCAATGCGCTGGTGTGCCAGGACCTGGCCGACCACCTTCTGTTGGCCATGGACAGGTCCACGTCCATGCTGAATACATTGGTGGAGAAGGGCAGCGAGTACACAGTCGAGGACAATCTCACGAGTGTGATAGATATGAATCGGTACTCGTTGGGTGATGCTGCTGGCGGGGATGCGCACTGGCTCACCTCAGAGAAGCCGCTTGCGGAGTGGACCAAGTGGGAGGAGCTGCACGCGAAGTTCGTGACAAGCTTCGCGAAGCTACCCGCAGGCAAGATGAAGGCCGCAATCGAGGAGTGCAAGGAGAAGCTCAAAAACACACAGAAGCTGGAGACCATGTTCAGCATCGATCTCAAGAGCAAGAACATGGCTGATGACATCAAGGCTGCCAGCACTACGAAGCTCACCTGCGCGATGATCAATGAGGTCATGAAGGTTTAGAAGGATAGGGACAAGGACGTGGACAAGAGACGCGATGCTGTCCGCCAGGCGATCTTGCAGCTGCGGGAGGTGCACGGGCTGAAGAAGGGCGATGACTACACCCCGTACCTGCCGAAGGTCTTGGTCGTCGAGGCCGAGTCGGTTGTGGCGAAGAAGCGGGTCAAATGAGAGACGGTGCTCTCAGCGGCTGGCCATTTTGGCCAAGACAAGCCGCCGCCCTGTCCATATATAGATCTATGGCGTGTGGAGAAACGAGAAATCAATGTGATCTGATGTCTTTTCGCAGGTTTGCCAACGTCTTCTAACGCATGACCCACTCCAATCATGATCGCCTGGCTGGCCTGGCGAATCAATCTTTCAGGACGGGCCCAAAGTTCGAGAGTCGACGGTGCGAGGCACATGCGTTGCGGTTGAAGTTCCGCCCCCATCCCCGTGGTAAAAGCAACGGGGGGCTAAACGCATGAACACGTGTATATAATTGCAGCTGTTGCGATTCCGGCCCCGTCTTAGCCTTGCCTAGTTTTTGCCCTCCCCTGCTGCATTAGTCCCCCCTTCTGCTCCCCGTAAGTACCCCTCCCTCCCTCACTCCCTCCCCCGCTCCTCCGCCCCCCCTGCCTGCCCCCTTGCCGCAGCCCCTCCTGCTCTCGCTCTCGCCCTCCCGCTCGCGTGGCCATTTTGGCTCGAAGATTTGCGCAACCGCGCTTCGTAATGACACGGCCTTGCGCGAATGGCTCGGTGCACGCGCGGCTCTTGCGCGCTACGTGGGGTCGGCATGCGAAGAGTGCCCCTCGCGCAGCCTGGTTGCATCGACGATGCTGGAAGTGTTATGGGCTTGCACGTGGATGGCACGCGCCCTGCGCGCACGCGCGTTGTTGCGCGTCCACGCGCGGGTGCTTCAGAGCACGCGTGCCAGTCATGCTTCGGGAGTGCTCGCCGCACACGTTGCCGCGCATGCGCGGCCCGACTCGCGCTGCCAGGCGGACGTGGCTGACCAGACGCGGCCCGCTGAGATCAGCCGCCTAGATGCTACCACTTCGGCGCGCGCATGACTGGAAATGCCATTGCCCGAAAAAACCTGCACTCCATGCGCGCGCGAGGAATCGGCGTGAGCGAAAGCGCTGCCACATGTGCTGATCTTGCTGCTGCGCTGAATGGGCCCGCTCGGCAACGAAGCACGCGGGCGACAATTGCGGGCGGCATGCGCCCCAACGGGCGCGGCGACCTTGCTTTTGCCGCGCTTGCGTCGCCGACAATGGGTTCGCGAGTTGATGCGATCAGCACGCCCTGCCGCCTATGCGCGTCCAACCTGCGCGCGCCTTGCTAAATGCGGCTGGGTCGCCTTGGTCAAAAAGGCGCTGCCACGTGGGCAGCCGACCCCGATAGGGTGAATGGGCGGATGGGGATGGTACGCGCGGGACAAGCGCATGGGGAGCAACGCAACAGAAACTACAGGGGTGCATGGACGTGGCCAGAGGCGCTCAGCAAGGTGCTCGCCCTCGGTCTGGCGCCGCTGAAGGAGCTCGCCAATGATGCGACGCCCCCGTGGCGTCGCCCAAATGGCGTGGT